TTCACTATTCATTTCTTTTTTTTCTTCTTGTCAGCAAGCAATTAGTCATTAAACGACGAGAGCAATGCATTTCGATATTATCGAACGAGGAATAGTTATTTCTTTTATTTTTATAGAGTTGTTAGATGAAATTTATTTGTGAAGAAATGGATAATCAAAGTTGAATAAAACAATTAATAACTTTCGAACGGATTCATCACACCTTAATTATTAATGAATCGAATATTTTTTGTGGTCGTTATTGTTACGTAAAAATTTAAAAGATAATCATACTTAAGTATTATTTGTATCTTATAATTAATTTATCTTTCGATGTAAAATGAGAAAGATTGAAGTATAGGTATAAAGCAATCGTGTCATTCAAAAGTATTCACGAAATTATTCCAAAAAGCGGAAAGTATTGATTTATCTTGTTTCTAGTGCAAAAATTTACTGTACTCTACAGGGTGATGTAATCTTTATTCAAAAGAAAAGTGACGAACGTCCTACCCTGTACGAAGTTCGGGTTCTACTGCGGAGCAAAATTACCAAACGCGCATGCGTAGTAACTTGCCGCCAATTTATCTGTCTAGTCCAAACTTTTGAATCCAATGTTAATGTAACGTTTTAATACATTTGAATAAATTGTAATGTAAAAACTCGCCCCGTTCCCTTCTTTTCAGCTTTATTCCTTTTGTTTTCTTATTTTTTTCGTTTAAATAATTCTGTTTCGTCGATTTATTTAAATAAATAGAAAAAAATTCCTATCGCGATTAAAATCGTGTTTCATAACAATTACTTTTTACAGATGGAGGAAGACATCAAATTGCACAGTTCAATGATACAATTAATTCTCCACTAAACGCGCGAATGAATTAGAAAAATGTTCCCATTGCGCACGCGTGCGATTATTTGAAATCCAAACCTCTTCTGAGCTTTCTACTATACTTTTATTCCAGCCCTGATACAGTAAGCTCCAGTTACGACGCTCAATGTATCGAAAAATAATTATTTACTTTACTGTTGTGGAAAAGAATTCCAAAACAAAAGCATGTAGTATTCAGACGAGAATTTCGAAAAATTTTAATTACCATTTTGTTTTGTATTTCTCAGTGTACCAAAAGGTGTTCGAGTGACAAGTCGATGACAAACAATAACACAGGAATTGCATAGTGACAAATATATATAGTGAAAATGGCCAAGTTCTTAGCCACGATTAAGGCGATAATAACGCGATTAGTATTCGCGTCTCATGGTTTCATTGCGATTTGGCAAGTAACTACGTTTAAAAAGAATCCTCTGTTTTGGTACCTGAGTTGTCCAATTCTGTTGTTATTTTTCGAAGGGATTTTCACGCTCACTATAAAAGAGAATCAAGAGTGGAAGTGGTGAGTAGTGGACATTTATCACAATTTAAAGAATATTCTATTTCATTTTATTGCTACTTCAATCAGAAACAATAATGTTTCGACAGTGAAAGGAATCATTGTAAATATTTATAAATTATAGTGATCAATACACGGCGAAATTATATAAGAATAATTATTTAAACTGATACAAATATTTAAGCGTAATCCTTCTACAATAGAGGAAGAAAGTTATTGAAGTAGCAACTAAATGCAGGTTCTCTAATGCAACAATCTATACGATAAAACAAACCTACTTTCATCTGAGAAGGAAAGGGTGTGTTTTTGTAGGTCCATCTCAATTTGACAGTCGGAAATTGGAGCATTAGTAACAAGAGCGGGACGAGATACAATCCACTATACGTCGAAAATTATCGATATACAGAAAGAGCCATGTAACAGTGACCTCTTTCTCTGATATCCTTTCCTATTCATATTATATGATTGATTGACTGACTCGGTAGAAATCGTATTTTTGACTACTGAAAACGATCAATATATTAAATTAAAAAGAAAAGGAAAAAAAAAAGATTAGAATCACGGAAGAGTGTAATATTTAATATTTACAACTTAAATATCTCGCTGTAGTTAATAAATGTATTCTACATTCATTAACATGTAATATCTACAATTTAGTTAATGATCACGTCGTGACCCTGTTTTACCGACAAAGTCAAAAGCGAAAAATAAGACACCAATCTAATATATTCCAAATTTCTTTCTCTTAAGGTTCTGCCCTTCCGTGTTCCTGTACCTGAGCAGTGTGGTTCCTGCGATATGGCTTCTGGAATTAGACAAGGTCGACAGAAGGATGAAAACGCTCGAGACGTCAACGAACGTCAACATATCTGAGAATTTCGATTTAACCAACCTGGCTGCCGAAGATTTGAAACATCTGGAGAAAGCATTTGGTGTATGTTCAACTATCGTGTTAATTATACTCTGTACTTGTGCAATGTCCACTTGAACAGTTATGATGTTAAATTTTAAAACTGAAGTTCATTTCATCGTTAATTCATTTAGGTAAATATAAATTTGCCCGATATAAAAATATCGACCGAGACTTGGGTAACTCTGATCGAACAGTTTCTGATGTTGATTCTAATCATCGGGAGATGGATGTTACCGAAGGGAGATCTAACCAGAGACCAGCTGAGCCAATTGTTGCTAGTTTATATTGGCACAGCCGCAGACATCATTGAATTCTTCGATTCCTTTAAAGAGGACCGCATAGCTCGTGAACCTGTCTTAGTTTATTTGACTCTGGGTATCTGGGCGTGGTCTTTGATGCAGTTCACCGTCGTGCTGACGGCCACCAAGTCCCGGAAGTCTAGGCTGTCTTCCGGAAGCGCTGTAAAAAGAAGGGTGCACACTGAAACTAGTTGTTGCAGCATCGACGTGTGGGGGATCGCTTTGAACATGCTTCTACAGGTGTGGTTTTACTCAATACATTTTTTTTTTTTTTCAAATCATTCAAAAAGTGAGTGTTTTACTAATTATTAAACGTACGTACGCTTCATTTGTACAAGCTACATGGACGATGAATTGATAAAGATAAGCATTGATTGTATTTTTCCGAGATTTCTGAAGATTTTATATTTTTGAAAATATTACAGGACGGGCCATTTCTTGCGTTCAGACTGATCTTGATCGTCCACTATCGTATAGTGAGTTACATGAACATCTTCTTCACGTGTAAGAACACTCTTGTGATATTATTGCAACTTTACCGACTGTACGTAGTACAGACTGAGAATCGCAGCAAGGTAAAGAAGAAATCTGAGGTATCGAGCATCAGTATCATATCGAGGGAAGATATCTACAATGATGTGAGAAGTAAAAAGTTCTCTGAAGAAAGGAGAAGAAAGAGAAGAAGAGACAGAGACATAGAGGCCAATTATTCAGAAAGTGAAGAAACGACGGAAGAAGCAGATAAATTTGATTCCTCACCGAGAAATATTAGCTATTCTAGAAGGTACAGGGCACAGAGACAAGCTCAACAATTAGAAACAAATTATCTATGAATTCACTTGCCTATTCAAATACATTCAAATTTACTATCTGTGAATGTTGTACATTTTATAGAAGAACACGTCAGGACACTGGATACTCCACATCCAGCTCCAGAAATTCTGACAGGCGTCGAAAATCGCGGAGGAACGACAGCAGGAAGAAATCCTCGCGGCGAGAAAGCTTGAAAATTGAAATTTCCAGCGATGAAGAAAAATATAGAAGAAAGACTGGTAGAAAGTCAGCCATGAAAGGTAGCAAGAAATCTTCAGAAAGTATTAAGATGAAATCTAGGAACGATGATTCTAGTAAAAGCTCCGGAAAGAGTCGAAAGTACAAAGAAGACAATGAAGAAAAAGAAGAATCCACGACGGAGGAGATGGTCGATAAAACAGTTAGTGAAGGAAGTGAGTCAGAATCAGAGAGAAAAAGGTGAATAAATTAACAAGTCATCAAATATAAAATAAAAAAGAAAACTAATTTTGGTCTATTTTTAACTATTTTAAATTCTAATAAAACATAGAAGTTTAATTATCGAACGAGAATTAGATTGTGCATTCAATGTTCATTGCATTTCAGAATTATTGAAATGTAATTATGAATAATTTATTTGTTAATAAACTTGAACACTTGTTTCTCCAAATAGGAACTTGCAATATAAAAATTATTTCTTCTGCAGTAACAAATAATAATCATATTATATCTTTTATACGTAACTCAAGTGTACTAAGTATACTAAGTATACTAGCCTATATATTGTTAGTACTAAGTTTACTAAGATAATTTTCACAACACTTTAGGATCTTATTTTTTCATTTTTTTTTTTTTT